GTTTAAATCTTAAACAATTACAGTTCTAACTCCACATATTTCAATTAACTCTCAAAGTACTTAACATTGTGACCGTTTATACAATTTCTTTGCAAAAATGTCAACCCCACCCCAATGTGCCAAGTTGCCTATTAACGTTAAATTACATTAAAGAAAACACAATCACGGGGTGGCGCCCGCCCGTCCCTGCACTCGTTCCCACTGTGGCGGCACACTCTGGCTAGGTCGTGCTACCCCACTCCGCACTGCCGCGGTTATCTTAACTTGTAACCAAAGTTCGACATAATAGTTTGTTACATGGAAACATCCTGCCCACACTCACATTATGTAACTCACTAGCTACGGCATTGGTTTCACATTGTGTACTGACCTGGAAAACACAGATATATTTAACAACAATGAGGACACGAGGCTCTCAGTTAACGTTCCAAATTGTCTCTGAAGCTGAGCGGAAGGCCTCACCCATAAGACACACCTGGCGCAACTGCTGCCTTCACAATGGTTCCTACCTCAATGTTGCTTTGGCTTGTGACGCCAACTATTCATTGATATGCAACTTAACCTGGTCCTCCACTGTACACAATGCATTGCCGTCTTCAAATGAAATACAGAAGAACTGTTATTTAATAATTCAAATGTGGTCATGCCGTTTTTGAGGTGTACCACAATTAGCACAATAAAAAGAACACTCAAAATCACAGAACTAAATGCAAATATAGGAGGATGAAAGGAGTTTCACAAAACAGTGATCTGCTTGAGTTGGTGACACCGGGGCCATCCAGCAGGTGTACAATAATGTCAACATTTTTACATTCTTTGATTGGATGGTCAGAGAGCCTACTAGTCAGAGCTAGCAAAGTATATCTGTAAAGGGCACCAAAAGCTAAAATATATTCCTGTAGATTTAATAGCAGTTTTTCAATCCACAATGGCTGACAGAAGAGAAGAAATTGGTTTGTTAACAGATATAATAATAATAATAATAATCACCTTTATTTGGCCAAGTATGTTACATACACAAGGAATTTGTTTCCAGTACAGAACCGAGGCTCCACAACAAAAAGATGAATAGAAACAGGAAGATACCTGTCTGTAATGCAACACCCTGTTATACTGCATTTCTGTATAATACTGGTAGTTTCTATAGCCATGGCATCATAATAATTGTAATAAAAGGGTGGATTAATTCAGGTAGGACACCAGTGAATGCCTAGGTGTGAAATGCACGGACCGGCACTGGTATTTTCACAGTGTGAGAAATCAGCTACATAATTAGTTCCTTCTTTGCATTATATATTTATAGTTGCATTTTTCTCTGTTTCCTGTTAGCACAAGCATTTTCTGAATCCTCGTCAGCCTGAGTGTAACAATTCTGCTTTCAACAGAACAACTTTTGAAACATGGGAACATAAATTCGAGTGAAAATCATTTTATATAATCTACATTTTTGCAAAAGGAAAAAAGTGCAGGTAGTACTAGTCATTATCATATCCAATAATATGAGGAAGATGCTGAAGTACTCTATCATCTCATCTTTCCCAGAACCAATTTATTACTTCTCCTCTCATCTTGGTCCCTGAAATTTTTGTCATTACCAATTCCATCCCATCCAAATTCGTTCACTTTTACTTTATACCAAAGAAATTATTTTCTGTAAATGAAAAAAAGAAAATAAGAATTTGGGCACCAGATGTTCTATGGGTGAAGAGGCAGCCTATGTAACTGCAAGAGGATTATCAATATAGTAAGTCTATCACAAACATCTGTGGTACTGACACTCAGCCCTCAGTATTCAATGTTATTAACACAAGTATGTGAATCTTAATTTTTATTCCGCTAATTATGTTTCATGTTGCTAAGCTTTAAAGTTGAATATGTTATGGAATATGATTAGACAGAATGTGTCAGGTCCGCTCGGCGCGACCTGCCTCTCTTTCTTTTTTTTCCTCTCCTGCTCTCCCTTTTTGCGGGATCAACGCCTCAGCTATGTCGCATTGGGTTATTAGTGACTCGTGGGTTGGTGCGCACACCTGATGCGTATTCCGGTGATTTGTTGGCTTCCTTATTTATCCCTCTGGCAGACGCCCCGTCGTCGCCGGAGCATTGTGACATGTAATGGACAATACTTACCTATGTAAGTGACAAATGTTGTGTTTGACCCGCATATTTTTTAGACGTGTGTAAGATGCTACACTGACAGTCTCTGTGCGTTTTGGCTTGACCTTATCACGCTTATTATGCGGTTAGCAATACTTAAATACGAGCTTTGTCTTCCACGCTGATAGTCTTTGTGCTGTGGATTACATTGTGTACGTTGGTTCTTTTTGTTCACCTGTCCGTTCTCATCCTTTGCTATCCTAGTTCCTGTCATTAGTTTGTGTGTTTACCGTCCTGGTCTCCTTAGTCATCACTGCCCTTCCCTTGTATTATGGACCCTGTTATGTTGTCATGATGTTTTTATTCCATTAAACCACCTTTTTTGTACTAGCACCTGGGTCAGCTATCTTGAGTCCAACCCCAGTTCTCCCTCACCCGTTTCAAGAAGAAGGTGTAACAAACTCAGAGTTTAAACCTGAACTCTGAGTTGACTTATACAGAGTTGGAAAACTTGGAGTCTTCGGTTTCAGAACAGCTGAAAAGAGTTGGTTTAATCAACTCTGAGTAGGTTGACTCAGTTAGGCGCGTGCAGCGCGGCTATAAAAAGCCCTGAACAATGGAGTGAAGACATTAGGAGTCAACATGGCAACAGGACCAAGCAAAAATAGGTCTGCGTTTTTTTTCCTTGACAGAAATGGATGTGCTACTACAAGCATATAGTGACTACGAGTCCATATTTCGTAAAAAAAAAAAAAGCAACACGGCTGCAGCGGCAAAAGAGAGAGAGTTAGCTTGGAAATGGGATTTGTAAAGTAATGATTAATAAATAATCCAATACGTTTTATGGAGAGTAATTATTACATTAATCAAAATACTTTTTTAAAATTTACCCAACACTGATGTAATAATATAAGAATTGAATTTTAATTTTCATGTAGGTGCAATCCTGCAGGCATAAAAAGAACATGGTAGCAGCTAAAAATGAAATATAAAAACATAATTCAAACAGGTAAGGCTTGATCATATCATGGGTGTAGACTACCTGACTTTACAAACATTTGACATATTAAATAACCAAATAGCATACAGAGTATAGCAGTGCAGCAGCATTTTCAACATGGGTGTAATGTTTTCACACAAATCATTTGACTTCTACTCAGCCAACAGAAAGAAGGCAGAGGCTAGAAAAACTGGTGGAGGACCTGCACCACTGATGCATGCAGAGGAGATGGCCCTCAGCCTGAACACTGGAAAGCCAGTGGCTGAGGGAATTCCTGGAGGGAGTTCATCAGAACCAGTCACTCCCCAGGATACAAGTGCATTCATTACATGTAAGAGGCCTACCTATATATTCTATTTTTTACATAGGCTACTTTTGATATATCCATTTATTACACTCTGGGGTGGGGTTTTTGTTTGTCTTAACAGATTCTGATGGTAATATCTGCCTTTTGGAGCCTCCTGTCACAGCAGAACCCCAGGCTGTTGTAAGTATCCTACTAAATAAAGCTTAAATTATGATAGGTAGTATTATAAAGTGTACTCTAACCAAATGCTCGTCTTCATAGGACTATGAGGATAATGAAACTATGTCTGCCACAGAGAGGTCTACAGAGGTAATATTAATACAGTGTATACACATCAAATGATCTACACATTCGGAGTGCCAGTGTTTGTGTGAAGTAGCCTAAAGGCTGTAAATCTATCTCCAAGTATACTGACATTATTATCTCCCCTCTGCCCCAGAGTGTGGAAGAACAGCAGGAGGAGGGTCCGTCAAATGCTGCTGCGCAGATGAACACAGTTCAGTGATGTTCAGTAAATGCCAGAGTTTCAATTTGTAAAATTAATGAGGAACTATGTCATGTAACTAAATCTTCTGTATTTACAGTTACCAGTTAAGGAGTTGTATAGAATACATCTTATTAAAAAAATAGAAAAAAATAACAAAGAAATGTTATACTTGGACTGCCAGATTGGAAAGACAGATCTAGAAATTGAAATTCTCAAACAAAAGCTAGAGGTGAGTGTATAGTTACAGGTGAATTGTATGAATTATTGAATGAATTGTGAAACCTAACAATTGCTTTTGTATTTGTAGGAAATGAAGAAACCCAAATAAAGTATGATTTGCATTTATTCCGTTTCTGTCTTTCATCGGTGGTGATGGTGGTGGTTGTAGATTAATCCCAGAAGACATTACGGCATATCCAATCTCTGACTGTCCTTCCATCCTGGTAATCTGCAGGGTGGATGGAATCTTCCTCATGGTCTTGTATTTGTAGGGCAGGGTGTTGCTCCCCTCTAAAAATGGCAATATTGTAGAGAACACATGCCACAATAATGTCACAGACCCTCTCAGGTGTTACCCTAAGGCGTCGTAGGCACTGAAAACGTGCTTTCAACAGGCCTATGGTCATTTCCACCCAGGCTCTTGTTCTGCAGTGTGCCACATTAAAGCGCTGCTGGGGGCCTGCTTCAGCTTCTGGGTAAGGGGTCATTAGTGTGGGCTGGCATGGGTAACCCCTATCTCCCAGCAGAAAGCCATCAATCTCTCCTATAAGAAAGTTCACATCACTTTAGTGCTGCATAGAAGTGCTCCTGTAAGTGTGTAGTGCATGCATTGAAATAAGTGTATAGGGCATACATGTATTTACCACATTTCAGCCTGTTACTTAGGGTTGACTCACGATATATTCATGAGTCATGAACAGAGCCGGGCCACTTGGGCTCCACGTTTGTGATATGTGCAGCATCGCATAATCTTGGTGGTGCAAAAAATTTTACATGTCAGTTACAGTATTGTGATGTAGTCTTTGACCATTAGAAAGAGTAGTCAGTGTACCTTGCAGCATGTTCTTCATAAAGAATAATCAGAGTCAACTATCACCTTTCAAACATTTATCATAACTGAACAGACCATCGAATAAAGCAATTTACAGAGCTCTGGGTTCCATCTCTATCTGAAGCCCTAACCTCAACAGCAAAACCGTTCAATTCGTCTTCAGGACGAGGAGGCACGCCTACCCTCCTGAAACCCAGTTATACAATTTGAAATGTGCAATTGTAGGCTGGTCTGTTCCAACTATTCTAGGAATTCCACTAAACTATAGCTCCCCCGTCCCATTAGCCAGGTGGTGGTAATAAAGTAACTGTAGACCCTCTTTGCTAAAGCTATTAACCTTAAAATTCAGTGTTTTAATGACCCAGTCTCCCTTGATGTTAAACAGTACCCCAGTTGGCTAACACAGTAAATACTGGCCAAGGCCATCAATCTCTCCTATAAGAAAGTTCACATCACTTTAGTGCTGCATAGAAGTGCTCCTGTAAGTGTGTAGTGCATGCATTGAAATAAGTGTATAGGGCATACATGTACTTACCACATTGCAGCCTGTTACTTAGGGTTGACTCACGATATATTTGTGAGTCATGAACAGAGCCGGGCCACTTGGCCTCCACGTTTGTGATAATATGTGCAGCATCACATATGATCTTGGCGGTGCAAAAAAGCAATTTTACCCAACAACCTGCACATTAATACTGTGGATGGACCTCTTGTTTACATAGTCCTTCATTTTCAGAAGGTGCATTGATGGGAATATGTGTGCCATCAATGCATCCAACCACATTTGGAAATCCTGAAGGGGATTCTAATTATTAGTTTATTTCCAGAGGTCACAGCAAGATGTTATTAACTGATCATCATTTTTCAGATTAGCCTTACTGAAACGAATTCAATACCACTAACCTGCAATCCTGTGAAACTCCTCTTTAATGGCTCTGAGGGGTTTGTGCCCAGGAAACACAACAAAAATTC